ACGTTGAAGCTTGTAGAAGAAGAAAAGATAGAGGGCTCAAGATGGGAAGAGTAGATCTAGGAACTACACTCCATTTGCTACACTTTCTGGTAATCAAGCTCTTATCTTGGCTATTAGTTCATTAGATCTCTTTATGTCCTCTTTATGTGGTATTTTGGTCAAAGAATGATGGCCTTTGGAGAATGATCGATCCAAGAGGGTAATCTTCTAGATCTAAGACCTTGAAGGGCTGGAATGGCATAAAGGTGAAACTTTATGTCATTAGAGCCCCATGTAAGCTTTAAGGACATCATTATGGCCTTTTGGAGCCCAAAAGGCCATGCATGGATGCTAGCTCGAGACTTTATGTATTTAAGTGGTATCTAGGCCCTAGATCTAGTTTTCATGCTTTGGTTTGGGATATTAAGGCTTTTTAGACAAGATCTACGTCCTAAAAGAATTAGGGTTTTAGCTAAACCCTTCAAAGGGCTATCAACGGGTAAAGTTGGAAACTTTACCCTTAGAAAGATCATTTCTAGTGAACAAGTGAAGCATGGACTTAGGATCTAGAGAACATGTGCTTAATATGTTAAGATGGCCAAATAGACAGAGGGACTCATCGAGTCCATAAGGGAATTCGATGAGTCGGGTCATGTTGTCCCGTTTCAGTTTAAAGTAGAACTCAACGAGTCTGTAGAGGGACTCGACGAGTTGATTCACCAAGTCATGACTATGAGCAGCTCGATTGGACTCGATGAGTCGGGGGAGCAACTCGACGAGTTGAGTCGCGATTCCAGGATATCTCAATTAAAGAGCTCGATGAGTTGAAAGGTTGACTCGGCGAGTTGGTCAACCTAAAAGGTTGACCTTGACAAGAACGTTGACTTTGACCAAGAGGTAAAATGGTCATTTTACCTTTAGAAGGATTTTTTGTTTTTGAGTAAATGTTTTGTGAATGTATAGTCGGGGAGTCGCTGGAAAAGCCATCGGAAATTCCTGACTCGAGTTATCAGCATCCAGTTGGAGAGGTGAGTTTTCCTTCAGTATGAACGGGTTCAAGGCACCAATTTCGGTCCGTTTATGTATGTTAGCGTATACTATACTTCGGTCCGATCCTGGGGGTAGCCCAATGCAGATTATGTGTTCTGGCCTTCGGTCCAATGTCGGCGCGGTCCTGAGAAGTGTATATGTATGATTGATGTCTTTGTGATTCATGCATGTTGTGTGTTATGTGTTCTGGGCCTAAGTCCGATATTGGGGAAAGCCCGATGCATGTTAGCTTATATGTTATGTTTTATGTGTTCTGGGCTTCAATCTGATGTCGGGGAAAACCCGATGTATTTTATATGCTTATGTTATACGATTACATTATGTGCTTATGATATATGATATGCTATGTGAATGTCGAGGCAAGCCCGATGTCGGGAGAGGCCCGATGCCAGATGTGGTCTGGTGTCGGGGTAAGCCCTCAGCCGTGTTCATCCCGATGCAGCTGGGTGAAGTCCCAAAGTTTGGGTTACATGTTATGTGTATGGTATGTGGTAGTTTAGGGGAGCTCACTAATCTTCATGCTTACAATTTTTAGTTTTGGTATGGATTCACCAACATTATGTTGACCTTTCAAAAACCACATGTATTATTAGGAGACTGAACCCAGATGAAGAGGGAAGTAACCCCGGTGATGCAGCTTGAAGTCTATGTGTTTTACTATTGTACTTTGCTTTTGTGGCCTATTTCTACCTCGAACAACTTTATAATATATTTTATTTAATGAATAAAAAGTGACGTTGTTTAATGTATCAATGTATTATTCAATGTATGTCTATGGCCTGAAATCCAACATTCTAACGTCTCACAACCCGACTTTTCCGCCACCAACCGAGGGTGTAACAGATTGATATTGGAGCTTTAGATTATAGCAAACTTGTAATTACTTAGGAAATACAACTATAATCTAGGGCTACACTCTAATTAGGTTTAACCCTTTAAGCCTAATACATTAAAAAGTATTAATATTAACTACAATACTTCGTGACTACTTGCGGGAGAGGTGACTAGTTTGAACTATCTCTTGGGTTGTTGGATTTCAGAACGATTAAATGTTAAAATGGTCCCACCCTCTGGTACTTCTCACCTGGCAGATCCTTATTTGATATTCTTGGAGTATGAAACCCCATAAATTAATAAAATACACACAATCAAACAAAGATTTAAAGATATAGAGCAATATAAATACGCTGATATAAATATATCTACTACCTACAAACACAAATCCACAAAACAACAACTCAAGAATTTAGGTCAAAAATAGTATTTATAGTTGGTATAGTATAGCAGTCATACCACAACTAGACCACAGAATGTGCAACAAGTTTTATTATGGTCCGACCGATGCATGGCCAAACTTGGATATGGTGTTTGGCAATCTAAATGCTTGAGGATTTCTGGATTGTATGTTTAGTTTCAAGGATTCTGCACTTGGAGATTTATTTTTAGAGGCTTCTACGTCTGAGCATTTCTGGCTTAACTACATCTACACTCGACGATTATTGGCTTAGGAACCACTATTCGTGACTTACGACATAGTAGTGAGACTCAAGACTTATGGGTACTATCTATTACAGACATATAATTGGATTTTACATTGTATTTAATTGATCTTCACATCTCTCATAAACATCTTTCCTTTTTGATGTCTTATGCGGGTTTTCGCGAGAGTATGGAAGGCATAGAATCATGGAGTGCAGCTTCCCTAACAGCAGAGGAGCATGTAGTACATGGTGCTTCTGATCCTACCGACACCCCAGAGATGAGCATGGCTTCTGAGGAAGAGCCTATGAAGGACAATGATAACACAAAACCTGAAGATACTCCAGACGAGCACCCTTCCGAGCTTGTTTATTCACTAGTCTACACACCAGCTGGACTTTAGCTTCTCAGCTCATATTATGAGCTAAATGAGGATGAGGAGGATACTGCCACCTTGTTGAAGATCTCACTTCCCCGACACACTCATTCTCATCGATCTTTCAGAGTATACACTGCTCGTACTCTGGTGAAACAAACTTCGATAAATACTATTGCTATCCTCTCTCAATAGAGAGCAGCATCCTCACCAACATCACCACCGCCAACAAAGAAACTGTGTGGGGACTACATATGGATGCTCCAAATTAGAGCATGGAGACAAGAGGAAGATATCGGCTCGCACTTTGAGGTAGGGGAGTCCGTTACTTTGCCTACCCTTACGTTGAACACTCCAATCGAATAGACTATCTCCTTCCTTGTACCATAGACTTCCCATCACTCAGATTGTATAGGAGCGATGGAATCCGAGCTCTTTCTTTTAAGGATGAACCTGAGGTAACTAATAAAGAGGGTATAGAATCTTGAGGAGGAGAAGGATGTGATGGAGATGAGGATCCTACTTACTCAAGACCAGTTACAAGAGGTGAGGGATGAGGCTCAGTTTCATCATCACGTTTTAGAGGAGGTGGTTAGTCACACCGACAGGTCAAAATGTTAGGTAGAGACGGAAGAGTTGAGGATTTCATTTTATGATGTTTGGATAAATTGTGTTTATAGAAAGCTAGTTCAGTTAACGACACTTTTGATTGTGTTCTATGGATATTAGGTGTTTCCCTAGCACAATGGCTAGGATGGACATGTTTATACTTTTCGGTTAGTGTACTAGAAAAGCTCGCTAAATATACTTGTTTATTTTGTAACTGCAGAGCTTTTCTTTGTGTGTGGTACTTTAGGAGAACTCACTAAGCTTTGGTTTATAGTTTAAGTTTTATGTTTCAGGTACTTCAGATGATCGGGTCAAGGCGAAGGCTTGATCGTGCATATCCTTCAAATTTTATGGGATCTGATCTTGGAATACTCTAATTTGTGATTTTAACACTTTGGAAACTATTTTTTGTAAACATTCAAGGTTTTTGGTTGGTATCAAAGCCTTGGTTTAAGAGAATTGGATGAACATTCGTGTGAATCCATAATAAAACTAAGGATCTGTAAAAAAAATTCAAATTTGTTTTCAAAGGTAACCAAAGAAGGATGAGATGTGTATAATTAGTCAGAGCAAGAAAGTGTACCCTAAGATACCTACACTGTTATTTTCTTATAATGATTATAATAGAACTTCATGCTAGTTGTAGGGTGGGGATCCTCAGGAATTGCATGATTGAATTTCCTGAATTATGATGCCTTATTTCCTATAGAGTTTTTATGCTTGATTGTTTCTTGCTTGATATTTAGTAGGGACCTTTTAGGTTTGAATTAACTACTAAATGAATACATTAAGTCACATGATGAAAAGGTTAAATAATATTTTAGTGAGGGATTTGACCCTATTTTTCAACTCATGTTTGAGTCTAACTGTTGTAGGGTTGAGTCTTTTTAATATATGGTTATTTAAGTTATGTTGCATGCGATTATATTCATGAAGTAGTTAACTGGAAATAATGGGGGTCTTTTGGAAGCTGATGGTAGGGTGAGGTGGGGATCCTAGGATAGCCTACGAAGTCTTGTAGTATGAATGGTGTGTTATATAGTGGATTTTTGGTAGTATCATTATGAGGAGGTAAATTAGAAGATTCGAGATGATTCTTGAGGAAAGTATGGATAGGTATGTAAGGTATTATTGGTTCCATACTACTTAAAGCATAGGATCCATACTCGAATGGAAGGAAGTCATGAGGATTCTATGGAGCTGGTTGAGGGTAGATGGCAAGGTTGATACCGTGATTCGTGACAGTGTTTCTGTATCTTGGTTGGTTTAGCCTACTGCTCGACAGCAAGGGCCCGAAGGGTACCAGGGTTGGTTCAACCTTCTGCTCGTGGTGGTTCGTACCCCAAGTGAGGGAGATCTTACCATTTATGGAGAGGGTACCAGGGTTGGTTCAGACTTTTGCTCGGTAGCGAGGGCTTGAAGGCTTATTGCGTATGGGTGCTCAGGTTACTTGGCATATGTGGTAAATACTTGTGTATAGCCGAGTCATTCAGTATCCGATGTTCCAATAGTTTGGGAATTCCTGTAGGATTTTCCTGGTATAGCACCAGAGAGGCAGGTGGACTTTACGACCGATCTGATCCCTGGTGCATCCCCGATCGCCAAGGCACCTTATCGCCTTGCACCTCTAAAGATGCAAGAGTTATCATCTAAGCTTTAGGATCTGTTAGGAAAACAGTTCATTCGACCGAGCAGTTCGCTTTGGGGGTGCCGAATCTATTTATGAAAAATAAGGATGGTACCTATTGGATGCGTACATATTATCAGGAGTTGAACAAGTTGAAAGTGAAAAATCATTACCCACCCTGATGATTGATGATCTTTTTGATCAACTATAGGGTGCATGTTGGTTCTCCAAGATTGATTTGAGGTTAGGGTATCATTAGATGAGAGTTAGAGAAGAGGGTGTAGAGAAGACACCTTTCCGCACTCGTTATGGCCATTATGAGTTTATGGTAATGCCATTTGGGCTCACCAACAAACCTGCATCATTCATGGATCTAATGAAGAGGGTGTGTACATTGATGCTCGATCGGTCCGTTATTGTATTAATCGATGACATCTTGGTCTACTCCAAGACCATGGAGTTACATGAGGAGCATTTGCATGAACTCCTAGAAGTTATGAGGAAGGAGAGGTTATATGCCAAGCTCTCTAAATGCGAGTTCTGGCTGCATCAGGTTTAGTTTTTGGGTCACCTCATCAGCCAGGATGGGATATTGGTCAACCCGGCCAAAGTAGATGCAATTATGCAGTGGGAGATTCTTACCACTCCCTTAGAGATCAGTAGTTTTCTGGGTTTCGTTGGGTATTATCAGAGATTCATCTATGATTTCTCCAAGATTGTTGTTCCTCTCACCCATTTGACTAAGAAATTTGTGGATATTATTTAAGGTCCTGAGATGCAGGTGGAATTTGAGACTTTATGGAAGAGACTATGTTAGGCTCCACTATTGACCCTTCCAGTGGGCGTTGAGGATATGGTAGTATATTGTGATGCCTCCATCATCGGGATGGGCACGACACTTATACAGAAAGGTAGAGTGATTGCTTATGCATCACGTCAGTTGAAGCCTTATGAGGGCAACTACCCTACTCATGATTTGGAGTCGGGGTCCGTGGTTTTCGCCCTCAAGATTTGGATACATTACATGTATGGGGTCCATTGGACCATCTATCTAGACCACAAGAGTTTGAGATACCTCATGGATTAGCCTAACCTGAATATGTGGTAGATGAGGTGGCTTGACATGGTCAAGGATTATGATTGTGTGATCTTGAACCACCCAGGTAAGTCCAACATGGTGGTCGATGCATGGAGTCATTAAGTGTTAAGTGCACCTATTGGAGACATATGCATGAGGGTGACAATTGCCTCCTTAATCTTAGAGATGGTTAGGAAGGTATAGACAGAGGGAATCAAGGAAGAGAACTAGAAGAGAGAGAATATCAAAGGGTAGTTTGCTACTTTTCTCAAGGACAATAGAAGATTGTTAAAATAGTGTGGTAGGGTATGGATTCCCGATACTGGGGGCATGAGACAATTTTTTATGGATGAGGCTCACAAGTCTCGACTTTCTATATATATATATATATATATATATATATATATATATATATATATATATATATATATATATATATATATATATATATCCTAATTCAACAAAGATGTACCAGGACTTGAGACTTAGCTATTTGTGGCCCTCCATGAAGAGGGATATTGTAGGATATGTATAGAGGTGCTGCACTTGTAGAAAAGTCAAGGCCGAGCACCAGATTCCTCACGATAAGCTACATCCCTTGGAGATTCCCGTTTAGAAATGGGAGCAGATTTCTATAGATTTCATCACAAAGTTACCCTGGACTCTCTATGGTTTGGATGCTATCTGGGTGATTGTTAATAGATTGAACAAAAATGCACATTTTCTTGCAATTCAAGAGAGTTCATCAGCCGAGAAATTGGCAGATATCTACATCCGGGAGGTGGTCTCTCATCATGGGGTGTCGGTTTCCATAATATCATACATGTATGTTCTTTTTACTACCATATTCTAGAAGAAGTTTCATGAGGAGTTGGGTATGAGGTTACATTTCAACACTGCTTATAACCCTCATACCGACGACCAAGTGAGCGTACGATTCCAACACTAGAAGATATGTTGAGGGCTTGCATTATTGATTTTGGTAGGAGTTGGGATACCTACCTTCATTTGGCAGAATTCTCATACAATAATAGTTATTACACCAGTATTGGAGCACCTCCCTTCGAGCACCACTACGGGAGGAAGTGTCACACCCGAATATGTTAGGGTGAGGTCGGATAGAGGATCATGGAGAGAACTATGGTAGTGATCCAAACTATAGAGATGATTCAGCATGTTAGATAAATACTATAGACAGATAAAAGCTGAAAAAAAGTTATGCAGACCGTCGACTATCTAAGTTGGAGTTGCATGTTGGGGACATGGTTTTATTGAAGGTGTCACCATGGAAGGGCATGATATGCTTCAGGAAGCCGGACAATTTGGGACCCTAATTCATTTTTCCATTTTGTTTGATTGCCAGGGTAGGCAAGGTGGCTTCCTGGTTGGATCTACCGGAGGAGCTTAGTCAAATCCGTAACACTTTCTACGTTTTTGAGTTATGGAAATTCGTGGTTGACGATACATTGGTAGTACCACTAGATGATATCTAGTTCAACGAGTGTTTAAACTACATTAAGAGGCCGATAACGATTATTGATTGGAAGATGAAGGTCTAACAAGGAGGTTCCATTGACCAAGGTGCATTGGTGTTATCGAAAGGGCTTTAAATAGACTTGGGAGCTGGAGTCAGAAATGAGGGAGCATTACCCGAAGTTTTTCACTGCTGTTGAATGCAAGGACGAAGTCTGATCTAAGTGGGGGACAATTGTTACACTCGAGTCCAAGTAAATTTTCCCTCCCGATCCTCTAATTTAGAAAGTTGGAGTTTTGGCCCTTACGCAGGGCATACCTGGATGGTACGCTAGGTGTAAGGAGGTTAAGTTGAAACGATGTTGTTTTGAGGAGTATGTTGGGAATACTCTGAGTACGTAGGGCGTACTCTGTCTAGACACAAACCTTCATTTTTAGGGTTTCGACCATATATATTGCACCTTAAGTCCCATTCCCTCACCGCA